AGCCTGGGAGGGAGCCCTGCGCCTGTGGAGGTGGAGAGGGTGCTCCCCGGCCCCTCCCCGCTTCCCGCACCCCGCACCCCGCTCCCCGGCTTTCTCTGTAGTCACTCTGGTCTGTTGCCCCGAAAGGGGTCGTGTAGACGGGAGCTCTGCACGGCTCTATGTGCCGCGTTGTGTGGGGAAGCCGCGGGGATCTGAGCATGCGCTCACGGCGCTGGGCATGCGCTGTCGACGTCCAGGGCACGCACTCTGACGTCCAGGGCACGCACTCTGACGCACGGGGCACGCATGCTGACCCACAGGCACGCATTCTGACGCATGGGGCACGCACTCTGACACGGGGCACGCACGCTGACCCACAGGCACGCATTCTGACGCATGGGGCACGCACTCTGACACGGGGCACGTACGCTGATCCACAGGCACGCATTCTGACGCATGGGGCACGCACTCTGACACGGGGCACGTACGCTGATCCACAGGCACGCATTCTGACGCATGGGGCACGCACTCTGACACGGGGCACGTACGCTGATCCACAGGCACGCATTCTGACGCATGGGGCACGCACTCTGACACGGGGCACGTACGCTGATCCACAGGCACGCATTCTGACGCATGGGGCACGCACTCTGACACGGGGCACGTACGCTGATCCACAGGCACGCATTCTGACGCATGGGGCACGCACTCTGACACGGGGCACGTACGCTGATCCACAGGCACGCATTCTGACGCATGGGGCACGCACTCTGACACGGGGCACGTACGCTGATCCACAGGCACGCATTCTGACGCATGGGGCACGCACTCTGACACGGGGCACGTACGCTGATCCACAGGCACGCATTCTGACGCATGGGGCACGCACTCTGACACGGGGCACGTACGCTGATCCACAGGCACGCATTCTGACGCATGGGGCACGCACTCTGACACGGGGCACGTACGCTGATCCACAGGCACGCATTCTGACGCATGGGGCACGCACTCTGACACGGGGCACGTACGCTGATCCACAGGCACGCATTCTGACGCATGGGGCACGCACTCTGACACGGGGCACGTACGCTGATCCACAGGCACGCATTCTGACGCATGGGGCACGCACTCTGACACGGGGCACGTACGCTGATCCACAGGCACGCATTCTGACGCATGGGGCACGCACTCTGACACGGGGCAC